TTGGCAGTGTAAGTAAGTCTTCGAGCTGCTTAGGTATTTTCTTGTTTACTTGTTCTACTGATTACTGATAGAGGAGTGTTGAACTCACCAACTGTACTTGTGGGTTTGTTTATTCCTTCTTTCAGTTCTTACTTCGTTTTGAAGCTTTGTAATTAGGTGTATACCTACTTAGGAATGTGATGTCTTCTCGATTGACTCCTTTATCATTATGAAACGTTCCTCTTTTTCCTGGGTACTATTCCTTACCTGGAGACTACTTTGTCTGATATTAGTTAGTGACTCAAGCTTTTTATTATTAGGGGTACATAGTTTATATGTTTCTATCCTTTTACTTGTAATTTACCCGTGTCTTTATTTTTTTATTAAATGTATTGGTGTAACATTGGTTAATGACATTATATAAATTTCAGGTGTACAACTTTATAATGTCTGTATGTGTCTTTATAATTAAAGTGAGTATCCTGTAGACACATATAGTTTGGTCTTACTTTTTTATCCAGTTTTGATAATTCCAGACTTTACATTTGTGTCTTTAGTTCACAGAAAGCTATCATAATTATTAATATGGTCAAGTTTAAGTCTACCATCTTCCTATATGTATTGTGTTTGTCCCATTTGGCTGTTGTTCTCTTTGTCTTCCTTTTCTGCTTTCTTTTGGATTAAATGAGTATTTAATTATTATTCTATTTTATGTCTTTTCATTTATCCTCTGTATTTCCTGCATGTTTTATTGGTTGCTCTAGGCAGTTTATAGTATACGTCTTTAATTTATTACTGTCTGCCATGAATTAATATTGTGCCACTTCATGTATAATGTAAGAGCCTTGCAACAGTAGGTTTTTATTTTCCACCCTCCTGTCTTTTGTGTTATTATTGCCACAGGTTTGACTTTTACATATATTTTGTCTCTTTTCAAATTCATGGGCACAGAGTTGATCACCCTGCTTTTCTTCCATCTCTTTTATTTATAGGTATGCACTTCTCATTCCCAAATGTGCCTTCTTTCTCATTTCTTGATCAGTCTGGTAGAACTATCTTATTATTTTAAGAAACAGATTTTTAAAATCTGTTCTATGATAGCATTATTTTTTATTGTGTCATTTTCTGGTCTTTATTATTTCCTTATTTTTCCTTTCTTTAGCTTGACTCTTGTTTTTACAGTCTGTGTCGTGGTATGCTGTGTGGCTAGCTATGAAGCTTTCAGCCCACATCTGTCTATGTTTCTTTAAGTGCTCTTGAAGTTAGTGGAAGTTAAAGGAATTTAAGAGTATGCTATCAAACCTACAAATACTTGACTTTTGGATTAAGTTGTGTAACTTCACAGACTGTTGTAACTTTTTCAAAGAAATTCATTTGTAATGTTATGACAAATATTCATTTGGGACTCACACAATAAATAAGCCTTCAACATCTACATAACGTCTGAGAGGGTGATTGGTACTTAATGAAATTTTATCTGTAAAAGAAATAGGCATTCCTTGAGGTAAAGATGCTGTGCAATTGCGAATTTCGGTTACTCTTATTGCTTTACTGTGATACATCATAGACTGATTTCTTAGTAAAATGTTGCTCCACTTTGATTTCAGAATTTTTTGTTACCTCACTGAATAATGGATGCAGATAACGAAGGAAGAGGCAAGAGGTATGAATTCATAACTGACTGATATTTCTGTCAAAGCCCTCTTCCCCCATCCTCTGTTCCCATTTCAAAACCCTACTTTCTCAGGGAAGCCTGACTCACTCAGGGAAGTTTGATCTCCCCGGTGTGTTTTCCATAACCCCCAGCCTCAACTCTATTATAATACTTAGTACGTTACTTGTGTACCTGAAACGTCCCTCATCAAGCTGTGTCCATGCCTTGCACAGTGGCCTGTTTTGGGGCTTTGGCTTGCCTTGAGCTTAAATCTATTTATGTTTGAGAAGATAAACTACCTTATTATTTTCAGTTCAAGCATCAGAAGTAAATTCCAGTGCACTAATCAAAACGTTTTTGTCAAAAATTTTTCAATATGATCTATGTTTTTTAAAATTGTATTAAATTTATTGGGGTGACAGG